AATGATTATCCTAATTATATTTTAGATTTTTTATATTTAAAATGAGATGTTTATCCTGTATTTGATTATTTTTATCTGTAGTTAGTTACACGAATTCAGATATTGAGCTTTAATAAGTTGTACTTACGCACAATCTACTTGCAATTTTGAGTTTTTTTAAGTAATATGCATTAATAAACGGTACTTTACGCATAAAAAGTGGTTTTTAAGAGTTTTGGTCAAATGTTTTAAAATATAATATAGATATATATGTTTTGTATAAGAATTTTGTAGAAAAAATTTGTTAGCTACTTTTATAATATAATTTTTGTATATTTGAGACTGAATATATAAATTTATATTTCTTAATATATGAAATACTTGATCATATGTAAATGTGATTGTGATATGTTACATTTATAATATAGTATATATATATATATATATATATATATATATATAGAGAGAGAGAGAGAGAGAGAGATAAATTATACATAATATAATTAAAGAACGTTAATTCCTAAAACTAGTTGATATCGAGAATTCAGAATATCCGCTAAACAAGAAAGTAAAAATTCTATAAATATTAATAATTTAGAATTTATAAATTGATCACAAATTATTCTTGGTTATTTAATATAATATTTTATATTGAAATTTTTAAAAGAATTGAACAAGTCAAACATCAATTAAAAGTCAACTTTTAAAGCTATCCAAGTTGATAGTGTGCAAAGCATAAGAGAGGCGTATTCCATGCACTAAAACGACAACTAAAACGCCATTCTTGGATCATACACACACATACATATATATATATATATATATGATATGTAATTGATCATATATTAAACAAAGTTTATCACATATGATTTTAAAAGGTGGATCTAAAAATTAGAGAAAAAATAACGAAAAAGATCATGAATGATATCACATGTGATAATTGATGAAAAATTTGAATTTCTTTTATGAAAGTATATATAGAAAAAAAGTTATATAAAAATTATAAAATAGTTATGAATTTATTAAATTAAAAAATAAATAAATATAAAAGATATAATTAGATTTTTGAAAATTTATCCAATTCAAAATGATAATTAAAAATATGTTATTTTTTTAATTGATGAATTATGTGACTTTATTCTTTCTCGTCTTCTCGTAAATTAGTTAGCTTCTCGCATGATTCTATATTTTATATATATAGAGAGAGAAAGAGACTCAACAATCATATGAAATTCAAGAAATAAATGGATATCAAGTTCATCGGATTGGGTTGAGTTCAAATAAAAACGACTCAATATCAACCCAATACCTACAGTTTGAAGATTTTACAACTCGATTAGATATCGAGTTGAGTTATTTCAATGTCGGATTGATCGGTTTTTTGAGTATCCCTATGTGTAGTTATGTACAATGTACTTTATATGAAATACCAAATTCGTACTTTACAGTTCCTTGGGTTTGGGCGATAATAAACTTAACATTAAAGTTTTCCTTTTTTAGATAATCGTGGGTATTCGATTAGTTTATGCGTACCGAATACCGATTAATACCTAATGCGATCAAAATGGCAAAAGTTACTAACGAGTTTGCTTGTATTAGTTGTAGATTTGGCTGTTACTTCAACCATCGTTCGTAATGAGAAATCAAGATTTGGAAGTCGACCTATCTACTGAAAATTGGAAATGGCTAAACCAGTTAATCCAAAAGAAATTAAAATCGAGCCCATTGGCTAAACAAGATTAAGCCTATTGATAAACAAGATTAAGCCGATTAACCCAAATAAATATGGTATGGTTGACCCAAAACTTTTGAAGGCCCAAATTAGAATTCAAAAAGCCACAACATATTGATTTTGTAACTAGGATTGAACGAATCGAATGTTCAGTAAACCGTTTGTGAAATTCGAAAAGAAGTTCGTTTTTGTTCGTTTCTCTAATAAACAAATGGATATAAGCAAGTTTTTTCGTTCGTGTCTCTAATAAACAAACAAACATAAACGAACAAGATCGTTAATGTTTGTTCACACACGTTCTTTTACATTCTTTTATTATGACTATATTGTAATAATTATAATTAAAGATTTTAAAAAGTTAACATTTAAATAATAATTATTGTAATCATCTATACTATATTATAAAATATTTTAGAAAAACTCTTAATTTTTTTTTTGCATGAAATACTGTTTATTGATGCACGTTACTTAAAATTTAAAATTACAAGTAATTATGCATTAGTACAACTTATTAAAGCTCCATGTTTGAATTTGTGTAACTAACTACAGATAAATATAATCAAATACAGAATAAACATCTTATTTTAAATATAAAAAAACTAAAATGTAATCAGGATAATCAATAAGTTCTAACAGAATAATATCTTCACATTTATATTTAATTTGGAAATAAAAACATCATCATTTTCTCAAAACCACATAAAACCGTATTATAACATCGACGATAGTGGTGGTGGCAATGGGTGGTGGTGGTTGGTGGTCGATTGTGGTAGAGGTGGCGATGGACGATGACGGACGGTGGTTGTGAGGTGGGGGAGGATGTTGTTGTAGTGGAAGAGGAGATGGAGGTGGAGGTGGCCGACGGTGACCGCCAGTGGTGGTGGTGGCCGTACTAGCGATGATAATTATTAAAACAAATATCATATTAAAATTATGTATCAAACTAGGGTAGATTAGTGATGCTTTAGTTTTTGTCTCATTTTTGTCCAAATAGGTGAAATAAGAAAAAACCTCTTTTGTCTCATGTTATCCCACCTTGTCTCAGTTCTTGTCTCAGTCTCATGTCGCACCAAATGTGGGACAATGAGTCTTGTTCTGTCCCATGTTATGTCAAACGTGAGACATTACGTTTTGTCATGTCTTGTTCTGTTCCGTCCCATATACCAAACGTAGGCTTAGTATTTATGTTTGTTTGTTTGGTTAACTTAAACAAACAAACATAAATAACCCTTTATTCATGTTTGTTTGGTTCAATTACCATCCTAATTCTACCCTTAAATATTACCCTAAAAAATAACAACCTTTTTCGTTTCAAAATACTTAATATTCAAAATTAATAAATAATTTAATTAAAGTAATTGATTTCTCATCAAATGTTAACATGCTTATTACCAAGGACAAAATTAAAAAATAAAATAAAAAGCGATAATCAAGATTATTAATTTTAAAAAGCCATCAAATGTTAACATGATTACAAACCACAGGGGTTTGTTTTGTCATTAAACTTACTTCACACCTCACAGTTTGAACAGGTCTAATTGCACACTGTTTCTTCTCTCAGACTCTCTGTTTCTCTCTCCTTCATACACACCATGTCTCTCTCTGTGTGTGTGTGTGTGTGAAGGAAAACCTTGATTGCTTGTAAATCCCTACAAAAATGGATTTATTAGAGCAAATTTCGGAGCCCAAAATATTTTCTATGGCTCAAACTGAGTTCTTGAAAGCACACCTTCTTCATACCCAAAAAAACAGAGGTTTTAAAAATCATAATGCTAAAAACAATTCCATACCCATTTTCTTTTCTTCTTCTCTTTCTTGCCCTCTTTTTATCGTCATCAAATGGAGAATCCCGTTTTTCTATCTCCCAATCAAAACCCACTTCAGGTTCTTCATTGGATTTAACCAACAAAAAACTGGGTTTTTGTTTTTGTGGGTTTTTAGAGGAGGTAGGTGATAAGGATTGGTTGTTTTGAATTTGCAGGAAATACTGGAAGGGGAATATATGATTTGGTGGATTCATGGGGGAGGAAGAGGTTTCTTGGTGATGAAGAAAAAAATAGGAATACATCACTTGTGTTGGCTCAACAACGAACAACAAGAAAAGACCCTCTTGATAAATTCAAGATATATACAGGAGGATGGAACATCAAAGACCGCCATTACTGGGCTGTACGTTTCTTGATTTATATTCCAATAATTATCCGTACAAATGGAAAAATGCTTTATAAAACCCTTATAATTATGTTAAGAATTGTTGTAGAACATATGGATCTGTTAAGATGGTTGATTTGATTTTGAATGTATGTATATGCAGTCTGTAGCATTCACGGCTGCACCGTTCCTGGTGGTGGCTGCAACGTGGTTCGTGGTGTTTGGGCTATGCTTGTCTCTGATATGCCTCTGCTATTGTTGTTGCCGGAAAGAACCTTGCTGCTATTCAAAAATAGCTTACACTTTATCTCTCGTTCTTCTCATCCTCTTCACCATCATGGCAATGTAAACACCCCCCTTTCCCATCTCTCTCTCTCTCTCTAAAACGATAAACTAAGGGCCCGTTTATCAAATACTTACTCAGTAAACGTTTATCTCTCATATGCAACTCGATTCGTGTTTCTTCAGAGTCGGATGCATTGTTTTATACACGGGTCAAGGGAAATTTCACCAAAGTACGACGAAAACATTAAGGTATATAGTGTATCAAGCTGATATGACTGCTAATAGGCTCCGGAACGTGTCTGATGATCTTGCCGCTGCCAAGAAAATAGCCGTTGCCCAGGTGTTTTTGCCTGTCGACGTCCAAGCCGACATCGATAACATACAAACCAAGCTCAATGTCTCGGCTACTGAACTTTCCAAGAGAACCAAAGAGAATAAAGTAGCCATCCACGATATCCTTGAAAGTGTGTAAGTTTCCCTGCACCTCGCTTAAATCAATTAACAGGTTACCATTTCCCTCGTTCAAATTGGCCATTTCTTTTTTGGATTGATCCAAATGTCACTACATTCGCAATACCCATTGCAGAACTAGCTAAAAGACAAAAAAAATCAAATTCAACCAGTTTACCGTCACAATTACATTAAAAAAAGTTAACCTTGAAGTCGAGGGTAAGTATATAAGGCATTTACGTAAACTCTTCATAAAATGGGAATTCAATTGAAAAAATGGCTAGAAAATGAATTTGGTTGGGGAAATCGGCTATTTTGATCCATTTCTATTTTATTAACCATTTGGTTTTATCGAATGATACTATGTCTGTTCTTGTAGGAGAATAGCGTTGATTGTTATATCAGCGGTGATGTTGCTTTGGACGTTTCTCGGATTCTGTAAGCTCCTTTGAATAACTTATCGTAACACCATGAATTCATTCTTGTAAATTCGAAGGTCGGATGACAATTTTTTTCCGTCTCCTTGCAGTGTTTTCGATCCTTGGCCAACAATGCATGGTTTACACGTGAGTGAGATGTCGTTTTTAGTTATAATTGGACGTTTATGAGATGTTTTTTCTTACCAGAAATACGTTGAATCGTTACAGCTTGGTGTTGTTCGGATGGGTTTTTGTGACCGTAACATTTGTGTTATGTGGTGTGTTCCTTTGTCTCCAAAAGTAAGTTCGTTAATTTTATCACTCGCTAATGTTAGTTATTGGTATCATTGTTGCTATAACAACTTGTATCTCGTGCATTAATAGTTGTACTTTTCGGGGGTTCGACACTGAAACAAGTGTTGTTCATCCAGTGTGACTGCAGACAGCTGCGAGGCAATGCACCAGTGGGTCGAGAACCCGACGGCTCATACAACGCTAGACGATATCCTTCCATGTGTCGATAATGCCACGGCTCAGGAAACCTTGATGAGAAGCAAGGAAGTCACGTTGCAACTTGCCAACGTGATTAACCAAGTCATCAATAACGTCACGAATGGCAATTTTCCCCCGAGCTATGCACCACTCTACTACAACCAGTCTGGTCCTTCGATGCCACCCCTTTGCAGTCCGTTCAATTCCGACTTCTCTAATCGAACATGTGATCAAAATGAAGTGCCATTGAGCGAGGCCTCACAGGTAATCTGCGTGCAATTCAACAAAATCGATTTTATATGATGTCATATTATGTCTAAGGGGTTATATGGTTCATTTTCCAATTAAGTTCTGTATAGATTAATCTATTTATTTGAAAAGTGTCTATAAAATTAGTTAGGGTGCCTAAATACATCATAACATTTTATTGTAACACCTTTACATGAGATTTGCAATAATTTAGTCTTATAAAACAATCTATTAGAATATTTAGACGTATTTGACGTCCCATAAAACCAGATTTTTGTAGCAGTTTTTTGGTCGAAATCATGAACCGAATTGCCTACTTGATCCCAAATCTTTTCTTAACCGAATAGTTTCTTGATTGGTTTGAAGGTATATAGTAAATTCGTTTGTCAAGTTTCAGCGAGCGGGGTTTGCACCACGGCGGGTCGCCTAACTCCAGACTCGTTTAACCAAATGTCGGCCGGAATAGAACTAAGTTATTCGTTGTACCTCTATGGACCATTCTTGGTGGAACTTCAAGACTGCACGTTTGTCCGCCAAACGTTCACGGACATCTCCCAAGATCACTGTCCGGGTCTATGCCGCTACCTTAACTGGATCTACATCGGGCTATTTATGGTGTCGTTGGCAGTCATGTTGTCGCTCGTTTTCTGGGTCATTTTAGGAAGGGAAAGGAGACATCGTGTGTATACCAAGACAGTCGTAAGTAGTAGTGGACGAGGAGGGGAGAAATTTATGTGAAAGATCGTAAACCCATTTTTGGTGACCGAGGTTTGTAAATATTATCGTAGAGAATGTGATCATGGCTAAGGCTTCAGGGTCTAATCTTCTTTTGTTGTATGTGTTATCGATGACAACGAGCCGGATATCACATAATATTAATTTTCTTATATTTGTCTTTTATGGATTCGACCTTGATTTTCTGAGTAAGACGGAAGACTACGTCTTACACCCGAAGTGTTTTTTTTGTTGATGCCAAATTCCACTTTTGTCTTGCTTTCATGCATACACTTATTTATCATAAATGAAACAAAAATTAAATAAAATAATCACATTAAATAATTAATACTTTTTAGTTTTTACGCGTTTTTGTTTTGGAAAACCATGTGATAATATTTAAAAATTTGAACATTTAGTACTCTTGTTTTGTGTGTAATTTCGTCAATATATATTTGCAAGGAATTGTTAAAATCAAACCTTAGAGATGCCTCGATGATCCATGACAGACTCCAACTATATTCTGGTGCACAGGTGGAAGCCCAATAATCTATATGAAATAATTCAGATTACTAGCTAATTTCAACTCTGAACCACAAGTATATTATGTGTTTTTATCTAAAATCAAATCGTGTACAAAATAATTCAGAAAACTAGCTAGTTTCAACTATTTTTTGTGATTCTCCGCAGTCTAGAATATGACTATCGAAGATTATTATTTATTATGTTTTTATATTTCTTGATTCAATGTTGCATATCGTAAATCCAATTTTGTTGTCCCTCATAGTTTGGTTATTACTTACGGCTATATAGGGTTATTTAGACTACATAACAATTGCTACTCAACGATGTTTAGACATTTAATATAGTGAGGCATTATTTAGCCTTGTGATAACTTTCAATTCTTAGAGTCATTTGTCACTCTTTTAAACCCATTTTGCCCCCTTTTTACCCGTTTGAATACCCTTTTGAGCCTTTTAACATTTATTTGGTGTAAGTCGTTCTTGAAGTCAAGAAATAGCTAAAAAATCAGTTTTTAAGCTGTTGAATCATTGTGGCAGTCACCCTTGTGGCAGGCTGCAATTGTAACAATCTTTATTGAATATTCATTGCCAAATTTGTGGAATTCAGCCTTAGTCAATGTTGAAGTTTTCATTGAAGTGAAGAGAAATGGGACAAAGAAGATAGACAAGTTTGGGGTAGAAGACAAGTCATGAAAGGTCCATTTCTTCTACCCCAAGTCACTTTCACCTATTCAACTATTTAAAGGGATCGAGCTTGGCATTTAATTTGGGACACATTTGATCATCGAGAATCAGCTAAGAAGTTTTACCTTGTCTTGTATTTTTAGCTAGTTTAATTTCCTCCAATTTATTTTATGATTACCACTATGACAAACTTATGACCACATTGGCAAACCCGAGAGGTCAAAATGTAACACTTGGATATTACCATTTTTTGCTAACTCTTTGGTTTGGTCATTTAAGTTGAACTTTTAACTCAAACACGGACAAGTTGATCACTTGCATGTGCTAATATTAAATATTTGATCCATAGATGGGCGGATTTGAAATACGACTTGAATGATGCAAGGAGGTTTGAGAAAATTTTCAGTAATCACATTGAGCTGTAGGTTTTTGCATAATCGTACGAATGTTTAGATGTTGGTCGAGTGGTTTGTCATAGAGGTATGTGCATCTCTCCATATCGACGGAGCTAAGATCTTTGAGAGCTACTTAGTAACGTTGTCAAATTGAAAGTTAGCATTTGTGGATACTTTATCACAAAACTGTAATCAAAACCTAAACTAGTAGCTTCGAGAGGAAGAAATTGTGTACGGTTTTTTTGTAACCTGTTCTGTCAACCATTTAATTACTTAACATTTTAAATCATCAATATTCTCTCAACAATAATCAATTGTATAAAATCTAACTTTGCACCGGAAGTTCGTGGAAATCTCATATTCTTAGCAAGACTAGTCCCTGTGGATACAATTTTTGGTACCTTACCACTATATTACTTGTAGAAAAACTCAATAGTTGGTGTATACTTACACCATTATCGTACCACATTTATGTTTGTGTATTTTGCCTACCACCTTTCCGCCCTAGGCATGAAGAACCTAATGGCCGGCCTGATCACGTTCATATTGCCAGCGCATAAGCAATAGTGTTTATATCTCTTCTAACGAAGTGAACCATAAAACAAAATAACTTTGAATAAATATTAACATTCCCATTCTGATTTCTTGTCATTTTTTCTCATTCCTATTTTTAGTTTTTTGCTTGAACCAAAGAATCCGTAAGTATGCGTTTTTAGTTAAAATGATACTTGATATTTATATATTAAAATTTAAAAACATTAAAAATCAGTCATAGTTATAAGTTCAAACAAATACATATTTCTTCTTCATTTACTTTAATTGATTTTCATAGTCATGTTATTACTATCAAAAGATAAGGTGCCGTTTAACAAACGCTTATCCGGGTAATCGCTTATCAAGTCACTTTTCTTTACCGGATGAATATGACAATGTCTAAAAATCTTACCCGGTAAGAGCGAAGACAAGAATCGAGAGTCTTATCCGGTAAGTGAGGACGAGGACTCTTACCATGGTTAGCGCTTACCGGGATAAATTGTTGCATACAATGTGTTGTAGTGAATAAAATCTTAACCGGTAAGTAAGCGATAGTGTTGAATTTTACCGGTAAGTACTTACTGGGTAAGTGTTTAGGTAAATGATTCATAAGCAATAACATAGTTGACATACCACTCTTTTGATTATGAATTTGGGGTATAACACCGTCCTTTGAACCTTATAGTCTGTTTTTTCTGTTACAACATTAAAACTATTATGATAATCAACATAAAATTAGAGCGTTTAAACATTTAGGGTTTATGTTATGCACTTCCGCATTTTAACATAAACAACAATTGTGCCATAGACCCAGTTTTATGGCATGGGAATGTGTTTGCATGTCACGTCAATGATCAATCATGGCAGCATGCTCTATGTGCACTTGTGGATGTAGGTATGTATGTATATATCATGTATAGTATATGTGCATGTATATATATATACAGGGACGGACCCAGAAAATTTTCTATATGGTGGCACCATATAATTAATATAATATAATATACATCTAAAAATAATTACAAAAAATATGGTTTTTATGGTACCGATAAACAACTCGTAAACTTGTACCCGACGCGTTTTCATCTTTTGAAAACGGTCAATATATACCCAAAAATAATTACAAAAAATATGTTGAGAAACAACTTCTAAATTTGTCATCGGCGTGTCTTCATCTTTTGGAAACCATCGATTACATCTTCGTTTTTAACATTACTAAGGGCTTCCTTTTCTATGGCGCAAATGAGGGCAGAATTCAAAAAATCATCACCAATTCGATTACGTAAATCTGTCTTGACAAGCTTCATCRCCGAAAARCATCTTTCAACCGTAGCAGTTGCAACAGGCAAAACCAGTGTCAGTTTCACTAACCGGTAGACTAAAGGATGAGAAAGATGTTTTCTTGTTGCAACCATTAATCTGGCGAGGTCGGCAATACCGTTTAAGTTGGYAAATCTGACATCATTATAAACAGAATGATAGTAGATATCAAGTTCATGCTCAAGAATGATCCTTTCATTGTCTTCAAAATCTCGGGGATACATCTGACTCAACTTCAATAGGCTTGATTTGTTAAACTGAGAAAACGAATTGCGTGGATTCAAAGCCGCCATATTTTGAAGCAAGTCGGTGCTTATCTCACCAAAACGATCACCAAACTCTCGGAAGGCTTGAACTTGAAGCAGTGAACTAGCTGTGAAGCCTCAATGCCTCAAATCAAATCAAATGCTCAAGCCTCCTCAAATCAAATGCTGCAGCCTCAAATCAAATGCTCAACAGCTCAAGCCTGAAGCAGTGAAGCCTCATCTCAATGCCTCAATCAATTTCATCAAGAATTCAAGAGTAAAACACTAAAATCAAATGTATACCTAATCGGCTAAACCTTAATCAAGTAAATAATCAACTAAAACTAAAAATGTATACCTAAAGGCTAAACCTAAATACCTAACGAATCGTCAATCGTGAATCGTCCGAGTTTGAGTGAGATAAGCTTTCTGATTTATGAATCGTGAATCGTCCGAGTCTTCAAAATCGTTCCAAAATCGAATCGATTCTTCTTGTTGACAGTGTCCTCAGTGGTGGCCCCTCCCTCTGTCGGCTGTCGGTACTCGGTCGCTACGCAAATCTGCAATCGCTGGTCGCCTGGTCGCTGTCGCTCACTCGCTCGTTCGTTCACAGACTCGCTCTCGTCTCGTTCTCTTCTCGTTTGTCTGCCAGGTTGCACAAGAAAATGAAGAAATTGGGCTTAATCTGTTAATCATAAGAAATGAAAAGCCCAAGATGAGGAATAGAGGAGGTAATGGTTTGTAACTTTGTATATTTGATTTGGGCTTAATCATATAATTGGGCTTTGCATTTTATTAATGTTAATCAATTAATTGGACTTTGCATTTTATTAAGTTAGACAATTGGGCTTTATTTTGTTTGGGTTTTAAATTTTAATTGCTATGTTTGAATACGGTAGCACCTTTCAAAATAATACGGTAGCACCTTCCAAAATAATACGGTAGCACCGTTGAGAAACCTAAAAATTTTACCCTTCGGAGGCGAAATAATACGGTGGCACGTGCCACCGTATGCTCCCATGCAGGTCCGCCCCTGTATATATATATATATATATATACATATATATGTGTGTATATATATATATGTGTATATATATATATTGTATTTGTATATGTCATATATGAGTGTTTATATATAGTTATACATACCCGAATTTATTGCTACATGCTACAACGACATCTCTCATATATATATTAATTATTTAAATAAATAATCAAATATATTAATTCTCTATGTATAGATTGTTCCTTCATTGTGTTGAAAGGTTGCGACCAAAAACCTAGCAAATAATTAAACTACTCATTTCTTTTTCAAATGTAAC